CTCCTGTAGATTTTGCAGAGTATAGATTAGATGAGACTGATGATGAATTTGTAAGTGCAAATGGTCCCTCCAGAGGTAGCTCCAGTCATCGCAGGTCAGTTTTGCATCTTTCTCCTTTTGAATTCAGCCCACGCTCTGGGATAAATTTTTGAGACAGTAATTCAAACACACTCCATATGTTATTACGTTAATACTGATATGTTCCCCCCACCCCTCATCTGTCTCAGCTTATATTTCTGATTGTGACTTGCCTGTGATTTATAATTTCTTGCATTTGTTTAGTTGATGCATTTGGTTTGATCCGATATGTATTATTCCTAAATTTCACAGTTCCTGGAGACGCCATTCTCGGTTCTATGATAGTTAGGTATGCACTGTCATTTTATGCAGTAATTATTTGAGACTTGTCAAAAACTGTGTTTCAAAGAATTATTTGAGTTGCGGCTAAACTTTTGCCAATGATTCCTGAACTGAAGTTCGCATTTTGTGTTTGCAGTGCCTCAATGGAAGTAAAGGGAAGGACTGAAAGAAAAACAAAAAGTTGGTGATCCTCCGAGTAAAGTGCACTGGGACGCTTTCTGCGGCCCAAATTGTTTAGGATTACAAACATGTAAATGCTACCCCTGGATCTTGTAATATTTCTTATAAAATGTTGGTTAGACTTAGACGTGAACATGAATCTCAATCAATAGATTTCCATTTGGATATATATTTACCATCTTTACTTGCTCAAATATTCAGCAAAATTGATAAGTACGTAACTGATTTCCTGCGTAATACTCCCAAGACATCAGGTCAGCCATTCCAGGCCTGCAGTTCCGCCCTTTAGAAAGCAGGGAAAGGATGCAACTCCACACGGTAAAATAATGAAATGTTTAAACCCAAATTCTATTATGGACATGGTCATAGGTCTGGCATCTTTTGTATTTTTCTCCAAGTCTCCTTTTGTGCTAGAAATTGACTGGTCGCTCATATTGTTGCTTTAGCATTGGCCATCATGCGTGCAATTTTCATGGTAACAAGAAGCATTTGTCTTATCCACCATAAAATTGCTCACAATTTCAAGCCTTCCTAATTTCGTACCATCCAAAATCATGAATCAAATATGAATAAAAAAAATTTCTTATTTTATAATTTAAACTGTATCAAATTACAAAATAAAGATAATTTGAATAGAGACGAGACCCTTGTTATTAAGGAGCCCACTCCTCATTCAATATTTTATTGTTGTGCAACCAGTACATTCTATATTGCACGATAGTTTTTCCATAAGAAAAACTCTTAATAGACGCAAGATAATCCAATTAAACTCGCCAACTACCAAATTCGTTGAAAATTTTAGAGAAAGGGAAGTGAAGACTGCATAAGCTTCCTTCATAACATCATATTACTTGCTCTTACATATTCACAAATCCAAATAAAGCCATTTTGCGGTACAAATTACTACAAGGGACGGCTGCCAGCGACTAATATGGGACATTCTTTGGCAGGTTCCTTACAACATTGTCCTTGATACCAAGCTTTGTGCGCATGGCGTCCACACCTGATCTATTCATCTCCTTCATTACCTTCATCCTCACTATCTGCTCCTTCGAGTGTATGGTAGCTAAACCCATACTCCTGTACCTGAAAATGATTACAAAGTTCTTCGTCATTACATGACCAAGACCATGAAAAGAGGGAGGGAAGGAATGTGAGTTGAGTTTCCAACGGAATGAAAGATTGGGAGACATCAAAAATGACCTTGAGGCTAATGCAGCTGTAATGGCCATTTTATTTGCTGGTGATGGGCGTGGCTTCTGCCGATAATAGTGTAAAAATTCACGAGAACCAAGTGTTTTAGTCCATATTCCACTATCAGATCTTCTGGTTATAATAAGTTCCGATCCACTTCCAAGTTCTACATCGCCCATGTCGCCTGCTGCAACCAACTGATTTCCATCCTCATCCATGTAGCTGTTTCATAAAAATGGACAATTAAAATCAATATCAAATTACATAAAAATAGAATATACAACAAATTAAATTTGATAAAGGGAGTTTAAAAGAAATTGAAACAGGATAAGTACCTGCTACTATAATCATAGAATTCCTCCAACTCAGCTTCTTCATCATCATTGCCATCACCATAATGCACTTTGCAATGACCCTTTGCTGCCATATGTTTCCTAACAGCTTCCAAACTGTTGAAGGGATGGCAACGATCATTGCAATACAGACACCTGAAATCCCTCTTGACCTAAGAAAAAAAAGCACACATCAGAAAATGAAACAACAAATGGCATTGAAAAGTATAGAAAGGATTCATCAAATAAACATACACAACATATAATTCGTACCTTGAGGCCCAGAGGTGTGTTTGCGATGTGGTTTGGTTTGGATTTTAATTTTTTTTAAACCAATTCAATTTAATCGGTTAATAAAATTTTTAAATCAATTCAATCTATTATTATATGATAATTAAACCAATCCAACTTAAATCGGATCGGTGTGGTTCAATCGGATTGATCGGTTTTTAACACTATTAAATATATGAGATAATATAAAAAATTTTAACAATAAATAGAAAATATAGTTATAAAATACATTAACATCTAAATTACTATAAACATAATAAAATGCACAAACTATAAACAAGTTTTTATACTCATTTACAATTGTAAAAATTGAAAAGATTTGGAAATTCTTCTTGACTACATTACTAGAGACATAAAAAATAATAAAAGATAACTTTAAATTTTAAATACAGTACAAGTAATTCTTAAAGGTTAAAACTAATTTTTTTCTTTAATGCAGCAAATGATTCAATCCCATCTTCTAAACCTTGTTAAAGCAATTAAAATTTAACATAAATTTCATTAGGAATGATTAGAAGCATTCATAATTAAAATTTAAAACTTCTTAACCAAATATCCAAAAATAGTAGAATATCAAATTTAGCTATATTATATGATTTTAAGACTTCTAGAATGATATTTCTTAAAATTTAATGAAGAGAATCAGAATATTATTTTAAAAACAAATTAAAAATTTAGAATTATCAAAATAGAGTCATAAATTAGTTATAAGAAATAGAGTTACAAGTGAATTGAAAATTTAGAATTAGAGTTAGAGTGCACGATTTAGAAAAGAAAATAAATTAGAGAATATAGGAATATTTTATTTTTATTTTTAAATTAAGTTAATGAAATTATCATCTTATAAAATAAAAAAAATTTAAATATTACAAAAAAAAAACTATATTATTGAATTAAATTATTGTGTAATTGGATTTTATTTTGTAATCGGACGGTTCAGGCAATTTGAAGATAAAATTATAAACCAAACCAATTATATAGGTTTTAAAATTTGATAATCTAAACAAATCTAATTTTATATCAATTTGATTCAATTTTTTATTGGATTTGATCAATTTAACTCAAATCAATTGAATTAGATCAGATGTGAACACCTCGACCCAGATAAGTTAGCAAGCCTTCTGGATCTTTCAAATACTCCACATCGGTAATAAAGAATCCATGTTGCTTATGCATGTGAATCATGCAGTTTTCTATGCTATCATGCTGTAGATCACACACAAAACAACATGATGGATCCAATTCCTCCTCATCACCTTCACTGTCTTCCTCACCATTAGTATCCATGTCATTGCT